AATTAACATTGAAACCTTTAAGCTGCAGCATATCCCCCTTAAGGCATTTGAGCGGTCCTGTAATTTGGGGTAGCGTGTGTAAGGAAAGTATGCGAGTGCCATTAATTTTTCTGAACAGCAGTTCAACATTTGTTTCCTCCTCGGAGCTCTGATTAGTTTTCTAAATTGCTAAAGGGGTTAAATATCGTAAAAAAAAAAGACGCGTAGCTCCTGACTTACGTATTTTAATGTGCACGTGCATATTACATGAAATAGCCCCTTTTTTTCTTAATTTGAGCGTAGTTTTCATATCTCCATGCTTGCACCATCCCTCCAAGCCGATCCCTGTTGTGTCCCTGCGTATTTTGGGGCAAGCAGACGGGAACCGTCTGCATCATGAGTGGGAGAAACAAGTGAGTCACAGGGCTCGTTATGAGGAGCTTTGTTTCATTCAAATCCCCCTTGCCAAGATGCTGACACGGAGCCTGAGTCATCAGCAACGAACACATCTTAGAGAAAATTGAATCTTCAGAGGGCAGAAAATCATGGGGAGAGGCGAGGAGCTCACCAGCCACCTCCGCTTTCATCCGGGCACCTCGCAGTTATTGATTGCATTGGTTCCTGTGGCAGGTTTTCATAAGACCCTTAAAATAATTCAAAAATCTCTGAAATTTCATTTGAGAACATGCATGTGTAGCGGAAACCAGCAGCATCCATCAGGCTTTGAGGTCAGAGAATATTGAGTTTTCATCATGCTGAACAAGGCAGTTGTGGTTTCTGTTTTTATCATTTGCCTTTCACCTGTGCTCTGTCCAAAAAAGACTGAGAATTGTGATAACTAGTGGCACCTTCACCCTAGGTAGTGGCATCTTCACCTAAGAATTCTGCCTGGAGGATTTTTATTTATTTATTTATTATTTTCCTCTGTATAGTATTTGACATTTTTGAATTCTTGGAAACATTTTTTTTATATAAAACATCTCCCCGTATTTGCTTTCCACAGTTTGTGCGCTAGTAAAACCTCCTTTACTATTCTTGCTATTAATTGGCTTATTTTTGAGTGAGCATTAAAGAGAGAGAACAGTGAAACAGAACAGTGAAGCACAACTGCTGAAAGTCTCCTTAGATATCTGCAGGATTGCACTGCAAGGAGCTCGCTGCAGCGGGTGCGTACGGTATCTGCATGGTCCAGGAGGGTGTTCTCAGTCGTGCTGTGAGCTGGGGTCTGCTTTTGATGGTGGCAGGGAAAGGTTATCAGTTGACTTCAAAAACTGGAAAGCGGAGACAAGTTGTTCAGGGTGCGAGGGCCCCGTGTTCATTCTGAGCTGTATTTTGCCATGGGGCACAGAGAATTCCTGACAAATCTTGCTAAGGTCACCCTCCTTGAGCACCTTTAGAAGTCCCCTGTGTACATGCCAGCCTTGCAGGTTGGCATTTTAGGTTTCCAACCTAGAAAATGTTGGTCTTCCCTCGTGTGCGCGCATACCAGTGACGGGTGATGGCCTGCTTGGCCTGTTCAGCAGAGGTGACATCAGTGCAGAGCTAGAGGACACCACAAATATCGGATATATTGTAATAAGCACAAACTTTTATCAATGATAAACTAATATCTTTGCTTCTTCCAGCATCAGCACATAATAATATGAAGAGATAGGAGATTTTGAGTCTTTACATAGCAAAAAGAAGAGATTTGGTGAAATTCAGCTTGTTTTTCTGTGTAATACAACATCTATTCTCTCTTGCTTGAATAAAGGTTGCTCATGCATCAGGGTAACAGTGCATCAACATTGTTGCCATGTGTTCTTGTTTGACTAGGGGTAATAAATCAGCCAATAAATATTTGGCTGGAGAGGAAACTACAGATTTAGCTACCTTACCTCAAGCAGTCCCTCCATGGAAGCAGCGCTGCAGCCTGTTGTGTGCGGTACCAAGGTTTCTAACCACGCCAGGGCTGCAGCATTTAGAGCTCGCATGCCTCAAGGAAGGGCGGTGACGGATGCAGGTTCCTCATGTGGAAGTGTTTCATGCTTAATTAAAAAAAAATGCTGAAAAGACCCTTTTTTGTCCTGATGAGCTACAATGTGCATTTATTTTTGTGAGATGTGATTCCATGGTGGGAGGCAGGGAAAGGGATTGGGGTGATGGGTTCAGCATCTACTTGCATTCGTTCTCCCTCCTTGAAAGGTGCAGGATCCTGGGTAGCGCTGGGTGCCCAAGCGCGCTGTCCTCGCAGGCCCTTGGGCTCCCGGCCCTGCTTCCCTGGATCTCTGCGGCGCGGGGGAAGGAAGGAGGACCGGCCATCGCACACGCTGCCGAAAGCAGAGGCCGTCACGCAGGCAGTAACGGTTGTGGTGAGCGCAATGGAACGAGCTCGCAGCAAAGCACAACCTCCCGAGCTCGGGCCTGGCCGCGGCGCTGGGAAAGCCCAAGGCTGCAGGGCTCTGAAGGGTGGATAAAGGAAATCCCTATAGGGTCCTATAACAAGCAGGCACGGAGGATGCAACCCTTCCCCTTCTCTCCGTGGAGGTGGACGTGGCATGTGTGCAGCAGAGTCCTGAGGGACCTCTGGCTTCACAGGAGAAAAAGAGCTGATGAGAAAGGAAATGTTGTAACCTCTAAACCCTGTATTCTTAACGCAAGGAAATACCATCCAGGTCATCCAGTCGGTGGCCCCAAAGAACCAAGCTGAGTATTAGACCTTGGAAGAGCAAAACCTAGATGAACCTGTCTAACCTGGGTGTTTTATTTCTCATGGGAAAATTAACTTTAAATTATGCCATACATTTGAGAAGGAACACAGAATGTAGACCAAAGGTCTTAATACTGTGTTTAGAAAACTGTCTGAATAGTGATTTATGACAGGAGCACTGGTTCAGCTCTGTTAAATTTGGCTAGTTGCATTTAGTATATAGCAGGATTTTACACTAGAAATTCACAACAGCTTGGAAATGCAGTAGTTTTAAACATATATCACAATATTTTAATGGTTAACCAGTTATTTTTTATATTTTGAAGTCCATCTACCTGAAATAATAGGAAGTTGAATCCTGATAAATAAAGTGCTTCTGTGTATGTCCTCAGACTACATGAGGCAGCTGACTTCCTGCCGCATCAGAACTGAATAGTTCACTGCTTTTATATTTTGCTTCAACATATTTTTTTTAGATTTGGTTGCCAGGGCAATGATGCGTGTGATTTTTGAGAGGTTAGTGGTAGTTTTAATGGATTTCTCTGTTAGTGCCTGGAAGTCGAAATATTTTCATATTGTCTCAAAACATCATTTTATACTTTTTAGAACTAAACACATTTTGCATTAAAATCTTTTCATGAATTAATATCTGTAGCTACTGTCTTTGCGAGATGATCTGTGGGAAGCTGGTTGCAATGCAGAGGGAGCTTTTCTTCCCAGTTTGAACATATACCAGCAGCACTGAGATAGGGAAGGAAGGTGCTTCTAGAGTCAGTGCGTTTGAACTTGAAAAACTTCAGTCCTCTTGCCAAGTCTGCCACTTCTTTGAGCAAATACAGGACAGTTATCATTTGAAGTGCTTCTCTCTCACTTTCCTCATTTAAAAACACAGATATTTTAGCTGACTTCCTTTGTAAAGTGGTTTGAAATTGGTGACAAGGAGCGTAGGTGCTATTTTAAGTGACATTTTTCAGTCGGGGGCCAGAGGTTGGCTCAGGACACAGGCAGAGAGGCTTGGAGAGTTTTGCTTCCCTGCTGCTCGCTGGAACCATCCCCAAGAAAGTGTCCATCCCGTGGCAACCGCTAGCACTTGAAAGGGCCTGGATGTTGTTATTGATTTCAGAGCAACCCGCAGACCATCCTCTCTATACATTTAGTGCTAATTCAGCATCCATTTACCAGAGCGGCTGGGATTTAAATGAGTGCGAATCCTCTTAGCAAATGGTCTCTTTATTCCAAGGTGGAGCATTGGCCTGGAAAACACGAGGAAACCTGCCATGCCCTGTAGGCCTGCGCGTTACTGCCAAAGCTGGGTTCATTTTTGTGGTGTTTGTAGGCGGTCGAGCTCTGGTGTCTGTATGAGGCCAGTGTTACAGCCTGCTTGCGGAAGGGACACCGAGTAGAGTGCGTCTCATCTAGGTGTGCAGACATGCACACACGTTTGGAAAGAAGAATTTGGGTACTGGAGTTACGTTTGTATGAGTATTTTAACCACCAACTAGAGATCAAGGGCTCCGGAGTCAAGTATGCATCCAAACATCAATGATCAGGCCTCTCCAGCTCTAGCAAGACTGAAAATACATATTTTGTCTCACATATCCAAGTATCCCTTTTATGTGGAAAACGTTTTCAGATTTTTTTTTAATGCTTGTATTAAAAAAATAGTTATCTGACGAAATACAAGCACAGTGAAGGATTATATTAATTGAATGTAAGGAATTCAATAATTTGTCTCCAAAATTCTTATGAGATTTTTTGAAAGTCAAACAAAGAGTCTTTATGGCCATAGTTGCAAGTGGAGATAGATTTGTTTTTTGTTTTGTTTTGTTTTTTCCTCTCAGTACTGCTTAGAAATTCAACTGAAGCATTTATATTACAGAAATGATACAGCAGCAGTTTCAGCTCTTTTGTGCCTTACATGCTTGATTAGAAAAATCCCATTAATGAGAGAAAATGCTAATCAGTACTGTGTTTTGCCAGCCACCGCAGGCCAATGCATTCTATATAATCCATTGTTTATTAACCTAATGAAGGTCATTGCAGCTTGTGAAAGCTTGTGTGACAGCATATCAAAATGGTTTTAAAACTCTGTGCTGCTAGACTCCAGTGCCAGAATAAATCAAGGCTGGGTATTTACTTGTCAGACTGGTTCTGGTGTAAATGAGGGTTTTTTTCTGGGTGGAATGATCATACTGTGCTTTCATTTGTTCATTATAATTGTCAAGACAGACAAACAGTGCAGTGGTGGCTAAGCTGATGTTGCTGCCATTAAGCAGCGAGCCCTGTCTTTATTCACGTCTTATTGATTTTCCTTTTCTTTTCTTGGCAGGTGACATCACGCAGAAGGGATACGAAAAGAAGAGATCAAAATTAATTGGGGCCTACCTGCCACAACCTCCTGGTACGTGTATCTGTGCTTGCAGCATATGAAGATGTCAAGCGTACTGATAGTTGCCCCAGTAAAAATCTGCATCTCTGAAGAAGTATATGTGGCAGTAACAAAGCTATTGTTATGCAGAAAAAGCTTCTTCCATCCATTTTATGTATATTTATATATATATATGTCCGCTTTGGTGTGTGTGTACATTTTTTACATATGTTGCTGTGGCTTTCCAGTCATGTCGCAGAAATAAAATCAGCCCAGGCACCTCAGAGAGCCTTTATTTATTATAAGTAATGTAAAAATAGAGAGGAAAATATAATGCCCAAACTCATTGCGACTTAAGCCAAGGAGAGCTTTCTAAAGGGAGGTGTACATGAGAGTGGAAGATAACCTCATAGCCTTCCTCCGCTTGAGATTTCCTGCCCAAATCTCCCTTGTGATGCCACTAGAGAGAGCAGCAATATCCCCAGGGCTCAGCTTGTCCCATGTGCCCCTGACAAGTGACAACTGATCCTTTAGAGAGGGCTGGTCTTGTGCTTCGCTTGCCCAGAGATGTCCAAAAAACTTCAGGCTAAATTTAATATCAAAGAATTTAATGTTGTATTGTAAATAATTCTCTCGCATATAGTAATGAAAGATAGATATTGGGGCAAGAAAGGAGCTCTGATGAAACACCGAATCCTGAGGTGGAAGGTGCTGTGCATATCGCTGGAGGCCTCCGCTCTGTGTTTGCCTCCCAAGCTCTTGCTGGGGCTGCACATCAGGCTGCCTCTCCTCTGAGATCTGTTTTTATTGCAGACTTGGGGATATTTTTCTTCTACAAAACTCTGCCTTTACAGCACAGCTGATGGTTTTCTGTTTAAAGCACTCCTACATACTAGCTAGAATGTTATTTTGAGGGCTTTGGATTCCCTTTGGTCTGCTCCACTGCTGAGAGCTTCGCAGAAAGGATAAGCATTGAGGACACCTCAGGTTTCTGAAGTGACATGGCCTGGTTTGAGGGTGACAGTGACACTTCCTAACTGCTGGGTTACAAACCGCTGAGAAACAAACCTGTTCAACAGAACTATAGTCCCACAGGTGCAACCGTTTAATGTCTCAGTATTCGTCATTGTGGCTGGCTATCACAGCTCACACACTAGTAGTCTTCACAGGAGGTTCTCAGGAGACTTCCTTCATTTTATTGAGCTTCAGAGGGATTGTACCTCATTGTAATCCTCAGCCCAGTGGTGTGATTGATAGCAGTACTTTATTTACAGTTAGTTGTATCCTTTTTTTCTTCACACAAGGAAACATGGCTCTTTCTGCAGAGAGCTCAGAGTCTTCTGATCAGACCGTGTGGTTGGCTGAAACTGCTGGGGATTTATTGTGCATATAAAGATAAAACAGAGAAGGCAGAGAACCTGCTGGGGTTTATCCTTCCAAGTCTCTGTTGTGATATTGAAGTTTTCCATTATAACAAGGAGAAGCAGTGATGTCTCTGTAAGTCAGTCTATGGTCTCTGTAAGTCTGTAAGAGGTCCATGCAATAATTGGAAGAGGTTGTGACTGAGAAATAGGTGATTTAGTGCTGTTTCAGAGTCAGGAAGATATTCAGTGGATGTTTTTTGTTCCACCAGTTCCCACAAAATCCTACACTGAGGATGTGAGCCATGGATGAATGAAGGAAGATTTTGATAGGAAAGAGAGGGAAAGAATAGTGACGTATTGTCTGCTGTCCTATTGTGCATACATCAGTCTTGATGCTTCAGCTGATGGCCAAAAGAACTATTTGGTTATAGTGGAAGACATTACTTCCATTGTATTAAAGTGTTTTCCATCAGAAAGTGGTATTATTTGTGCTTGGGTCTTTGCTGTCTTTGTAGTTTTTGTTTGTTTTGTTTGTTACCTTTTAGACAAAATCTGAAACACTGCATTTTGATATTCTCCTCCTAAGTCTTTACTTACCTGAATGGCTTAAGGTCCTTGCTCACTAGGAAGGGGGAGACGAGTCCTTTCCAAGAGGAAATAGGATAAGGAAACAGATGCATTTTGTGAGCCTCTGTTAATACCTCTGAACAATTGCAAAACTCCCAAAGTAGTTATTCATTTGCTTGCTGTAATCTGCTTTGATGGGAAACTGCAAGAGTTTATAAGCTTTGGTGTTAGATCGTGTTGGATCAATGTTTCAGAAACACTTTTAAAAGAGCATGGAAATGGGCATGGCTCCTTGTGAAGGCTTTGGGGAAGGGCTGGATTTGCACTCCGTAGCTGTGTGCGCCAAACGGAAGGTAAATCCAAGGGCAGTTCCCCACCGTAGCCACATCCAGTCCTCTCGCTGCACCTTTGCTAACGCTCCTAACGCCCATGTTGGCAGCGTGGACCATCAGCCCGCACTGGCTCCGTGAGTGTCCCGTGGTGTCTGTGCGTGCGTGTGCGTGTGTGCTGTACTGCATGGGGGCAGCCGCTCCACTCGTTGCTGTAACAAATGTAAAAAAACTAAACGTGAATTAATTAGTTTTTTTCAACTTGTTACAGCAGCGAATGGAGCTGCCGCGGTACGGTGTAGACTGCAACACAGTGAAGGAGCTGCAAGAAGAATGCTCCGCACTGCCAACATTGGTGTCTGTGACATCCGGGAAGCGGCCGCTAGAGAGCGAGCAGCCAGCACGGCAGGAAACCGGCCTCTCTTTTATTTTCGTTTTGGTGAGCACAATGAATGTATCCTTTCGAGTCCTTATCTGTCTGTAACTGTGCCTCATCTGCACGCCTCTGGTAGATGTCTACCTCAGTAAAATAGCCTAGCAGCTGCCAGGTGCCAATGTAGGAGAAGGACAACATCTAGAAGGCCGTTACCAACCTCTGCTTGCCTAAGAGTGAAGCGATGGGAGGGAAGGAGGAATAACCCTTCTTAGCTTAAGATGTGAACGTTTAATGTGTCCCTAGTGTTCCTTGCATTGATGCTATGGAGGAGGTGTCACACAATAAGCTGGCAAGGCACAAGAAGACACGTGTTTCTGGTTCCCTTTTGGCAGTGACTTCTTAGGTCCCAGCGTTTGGCCCATCGGAATCACGCGGAAGCTGTGTAACTCTAAGCACCCCTCCTTCAGCACTATCTCAACTAGAGATCCCTGCCTGAACTCAGCTCTCGTTCAAGCTGTCTGGAAGATCCACTTCTAGGAATGGGCCATGGGCTGGTAGGAGCAGACTCGTGGAAGGACTTTCTGCACTGACACTTGTCTGTGACGTGGAAAAGGGGGCACAATCCCAACCGTGCCTACGCATTGAGCCCTTCAGGCAGTATTTGTCCTGCCTTCCAGGGATATCCTGTGTCCTGTCAAGCAGATAGTCTGCTCCTATTCCCTGGGTTTGCAGCAACAATTTATAGCCCTGCCAGATTAAAGGTTTTCTCTTGCCAACCGTGTGGATGCACATAGGGTGTCACCGCTGTGCCCGTGTGGTTTACACCCTGCCACCAGGAGGTCTAGACGTGGTGGAGGAGATGGCCAGATGGAAGATAAGATTGGCAATTCTGACAGTACAAGATATACCTGTAAAAATAGGATCCCCTTCACACCCATCGCTTTTCAATTTGAAATATATTTGGTATTAAATGTAGGGAGAACCTCTTGAATTCTGACCGAGTTGTCTATTGTCCTCTTAAAGTGGGGCTGCACTAAGGTTCCCTTGACATGATGCGAGTAACTTTCCACACCAGTTATATATTTTTTTTTGTAAATTAAGAATGCTTAAATTTAAATAGCAATTTCAGGATTAGCAGAATTAATGATATAAAGCCATTTAAGTGCTAAATGTAGGCCCTGGAAGGATTGAGCATATGCATATGTATAAACACATGCATACATTGATATATACCAGGGGTCTTTGTTGTGTTTCTTGGGATGCGATCATTTTGGATAAAAAGGATAGCTGTTACTTTTCAGGAATGGATATGACCCTAGTCCCAGAAGGGGAACTGTGCGGCCATGTGGCTGATGCTCTTTCATGGGATGTGGGAGTCCCCTGTTAGGCTCCCTGCCTTGGACAGGGAAGTCCCGGAGAGCAGTGTTGTCCCATGTGCTCTGCAGCCGGTGTGCCTGCGTCTGGCACCGGGGCCGTGCTGGATGCACTGCCCGTGCAGGCTGACCCTGCGGCGCCTGCAGAGGGGCTGACACCTCCAGATGCTGCGCAGAGGACGTTTGTGGTGTCCCAGCCAGGCTGTCCAACATCCATACACTGGGAACAGATTCGCTGCGTTTGGCAGTGTTCATGGGAGAAGGAGTAAGGAGCCTCCTTTGTCTTTTCCATTAAATCCCACCTGCTTTAACTTAGGGAGACAGAACTACAGCTTTGTTTCCTCAACATGCTTTCACCGAGTTGTCGGTTTGTAGCTGGAGATGTTCCGTGCACAAAATAATACTTCCTTTCTTAACAATACTTTCCTTTCTTTCATATGTCAGACACCTAAGTATAATAGTGAATCTGGACCTTTATGTCTGCATATGCCTCCCAGTCTATCTTGTACTGTGACCTTTCTCTTGTTGCCTCTGTACAGGAGGACTCCTGACAGTCAGTAGCTGAAAGAATAACCACTTGAACCAGCATTTATTTCAGAATAATTTTCTGAAGATTATCTTGATTAGATCAATCAGTGAGTTCTGGGTAAGACAACATGGACAGCTGGATGTGTGCTATTAAGAGGAACCCTCCCTGCAAGAAAAATAACTAAATTACCTGTATTCCTCATAAGCTGTGTTTTTGCCCAATTTGCTTCCAGCGTTTTGCCAGGAAATTCGATTATTCACTCACAGAACAGAGAGACAATGTTGTTATCAATTAAGTTTTTCTTCTAACAGTTTAGACATGGGTGGCTCATTCTCTTTTAATCAAGTGCTGCGTCTACACTAGATTACTCTCTGTAATTTCCCATCACTGGTGCCACCAGTGTAGCTCTATTTGTCGTGTAACCATGTAGACCAGTCACCAGTGCTTTATTTATTGTGGCTAATAAACCTGTGAGATGCAGTGTTTAAAAGGCACCCGCTGCTCCTTTCACAGGCCTCGAGACAGAGGCTGCATCTCCCACGGCCCGAACAGCAGCAGCGCTGCGAAAGGGAGGAAACTTTAAGTTATATGGAACAATGGCAATAACAGATTACCACAGAAGAACCCCTTACCTTATAAAGAAGTAATTTTCTATAGAATTACAGGAGCCAATTCCTCTAACCTGTATTATGGAAATAAGATATGTATTTGTAAATGTCTATAAATGTGTGCATACATTGGCACACATCTGTGAGTATGTGTGCATACATTTGCTTTTGATTCTTACTACTGCTAACCCTTGGGGCTAGCAAAGTAAACTTGCCAATTATAATTTCATTTTCTCTTCCATGGACTAATTCAACATTATTTGAATTGCACAGAATGCAAGGAAATGTTTAAAGCTTATTTCTAGAATTAAAATAAAACTCACATACTCATTCTATTAATAGTAACTAGTGTTCTTAAAACATCTGCCTTCCTAATTGTCAAAGATCTTAACCATGAGCTTTGCTTTTCCTGTGCTGCCTGAGATCCCATTTATTATTTTGTTTAAAAATCTTAAATTATTTAAATGTTATTATTTTCATTTATTATTTTAAGCATTCTTCATTTTATGGTGTCACCTCTATTTCCCGTCCTGCAGTAAAACCTCATAACATCAAAGACAACAGTCACGAGGCAAAAGGTATTTTACCTCAAATACTTCACACCATAGTTGGTGTGAGAACTTTGGTGAAATATGTATCTCTGTTCATGGAGAATATAACTGAAAAGGAGCAAATATGAAGGTGTCTGTCTGAAAATCTGACAAACAGGTGGTCAGTCAGAGGCTAATATTAATGAGGAAAAAAATAAACAGAGCATTGAGGACTTTGAATGGCCTTTAAGAAGTTGATGCCCCAGAGGAGAAGGAGCCGGTGGGAGCTTGTGAGGAGCTGGGGACACTCTTGAAGGGAGGAACCACTAGAACTCGCCGCCCTGAGCGGGTAGGTCTGAGGCAAATGTGGCAGGGCTGAGAGCCGGGAGGAGGAGGTTGTGCTGCCTGCACCACGCGCTGACCGGCCCTTGAGAATGTGAGAGCTAGGGAGGGAGAGAGTCTTTTTCTACGTGGTTTCCTATAAGCTGCAGGCCACCCTAGAGAACACTGAAGTCGAAGGTGGCATGTGAATGGTGGCAGCTGGTGTGACGTCCACCACGAATTCTCGTGTGGTGGAAAGGAGGAGACTCCCACATGAGCTCTACTGAGCTTGAACCGAAGGCCTAACACTTGCAAGGCAGTGCTGGAAGGCAAGGGTGAGGTTTTAATTTGGACAGAAGATAAATTTGGAGTGGGGCAGCACATTGTTTGAAATCAGAACATGTGCAGGAAGGGGCAAGTGTGAAAACTCACCGGGAAAGACGGGAAGATTGGTTATTAAACATATCTAGTCAGAAATTCTGTCTCTTCCTTATTTTCCTAGCAAGCAGTGGCTTGACTTCCCACCTGCCTTTGGTAAGGAGTATTTCATTTTAAATCTCCTTTGTCTTTGGCTGATCCAGTTAATTTCTTATCTGGATGTAGAGCTGAGGGGAAGAGTGAAATGCCAGTCAGTGCAGCAGGTCCCACGGGGTGCTGTGGCGTTTAACCTGTTCACACGCTGCACACCGCCTTCATCATGCAGCTTTGCTTTTAAAGCAGAATGGCAGTCATTGCAGAGAAGCACAGGGAATAATCTGAACTGAACGTAAATACTGGTTTTTAAACTGTACTCAAAACACCACTTGTCTCTCCTCCCCCTGGCCCTGGTTTTGCTGGGTTTGTCCTAGAGCTGAATCCCCCAGGGTCCCACTCTGTGGTTAGTTTTAGAAGAATAAGCATAACCCTGGTCTAAGAATGCCTTCTATTTCTTGTCAATGAGACGCTGCAGCTTTTAAACATTTTTAGATTCAAAATTTTCACACAGTCACAGGAATAATAGATGCATTGAAGTAGCTTGTCAGCTGTCATTAAGAAACAATCGTCCCCAGTGGAGAGGACAGTGCAGCTCTTGCCACATTACCTGCACTTAGCACCACAATTTAACTGCAGAAAGAAGTAGTGAGACTGGAAGGGGGGAACAAAGAGATGAAGGGGAAAAGAAGAAGGGAAGAAGTGAAGCCTGCTTCCAGCTGACAGCTTTGTGTCTTCCATGTGCTAAAATGAAACTAGCCAACCTGCTAGTTGCTTAAATAGCTTCCCCGTGGCTCTTCAGTTTGTAGGTAGACACACTAAAGATATAAACGAGCATGCACATTACAATTTCTATATTGATATATCAGTATTAGGCTGTCTCCCTGTATTTAAACTCCTAATCCCATCTGAAGAGATGCAGTTAATTCAGCTGATGAAGCCTGGAATGCTTTCCAGCTCCCTGCATAGCTCTCCAGGCTTCCCTGGGTGCACCTGGTTGCCTGGACAGAGGCATCTAATACTCCTCAGCATTTCCTATGGCCTTAGAGACCTCTGCACACAGCAGGCACATATAAAACAGCGCTTAAGGGGAGGCATTGCCATGTGGTCAAGCCAGGTATCATACTGCACAACATCTAAAGGGACATTGGACTCCTCTCTTTAGACCACTGAATTCTGGCCTAGGTTTCCACTGCTCATAATGGGAGCTTAGCTTAACACCTTCTTGTAAATATAGGTGTTTTAGACCACTGAATTCTGGCCTAAGTTTCCACTGCTCATAATGGGCTTAACACCTTCTTGTAAATATAGGTGTCTTACTCTGCAAGCTGAACCCCGCATCAGCCGTGTTAGATAAAAGAACTGGTACTTCTGCTAAGAGCGTGGCTGTTTGCTGCATCTGCTGCCTCTTATGTGTAATGCCATGAGCATAATGCACTGATTTCTCATCCTTTTATCTCAGATATCTGTGTTCGGAGTATGTGCTTCTAATACATATTTTGCTGAAATTCTTCGTGATGGGTAACAAGGCATTGGTGCACTGGAACTCTCCCTTTAGATGCAAGACAGGGGAAACGATTGCATTAAGAATGATGACAGTTTGAGAGTGACTGTGATTGTGCCTGTCTGCATGGCACTGGAGTGACATTATGAAAGCCATTTATTGCTCTACTGCCTCTTGAAATTTAGGAATTGATCCAGGTATGAGTTCTCTAAGCCTGTTCCAGCACCACTTCCACTTTTTCACAACTGCATTTCAGTGAAGCTGCACTTGAATAAGCATTAGCACTAAATCTCGGACCCAATGTGTCGGCTGTGAAAGCGATCAAATTTGGGAGTTTAGTTATTGCAGAAGTGCAAAAAGGCTGCCCTGCATTGCTGGAGCCTTCGTGGAGGTGAGCAGCTCTGCTCTTAACATCTCTTGGCTGCTTCTTGGGGAAGCAAACCCATCGAATGCTGTCCTGGGCTCCTAAAAGAGGAAAATATTTTGATACTCAGATTTCTTTTGCCAAGGCCTTAGACACAGTGTGAGCTGCTAGAGCTCTCCCTTCACTGTCTGTAAAAAGGAACTGTTCATCACTGATTTCTATCATCAGAAGCAACTTTAAACAAAGCCAAATACAACGTAGGAGGGAGAAACATGAGTTGAAGTGACTGATTTTTAAGGCTAGATGAGAAATTTCTGTATTTGTAGTGAGAGCAAGTAACACTAAAATTGCTGTTTTAGAAAGTGTTTTTTTTGTCCATAGTTTTACACAGTGGTTGCCTGTTGGGTTGCCTGTGCCGGGGCTGCCTCCTTTTAATCCTCCTTTTTGTTTATAGTCAGCTTGTTGCACCTCAGTAGCAGCACCAAACTTCTTGTCTTGGGCTGTTCCCCTGCCCAAGAAATTTGCTGTGACACTGCTTTCCTCACCAAATGCCATGACACAGGAACAATTTGTAGATATGTTTTTTTGTTGTTTGCTTTTTGTGAATAAAAAAAAACTATGCCTAATTTCCAGGAGGTACCTGATTGATTACTGAAAATAAGACTGACAAAACAGCTAGTGAATGGGGGATGGATAGTGGAGGTTAGAATCCCATTCAGATTGCAACAGGGGTTTCATCTTCTGAAAACTGGATCAGAAGCAGTTTTGTTTTCAATTTTATGTTGCTTGTCCTCAGGGTGACGCAACAGAGAAAGAAAAACACTATGTGTACAAAAGAGGAAAAAAGATTTCTTCTGATTATTTAGATGCATCAAAAGATAAGTTTGCCTGACTAAAAGAATATAAAAGCTAGAGAGCAAGTGAAATTACAGAGTAGTGTGGAGGGAGAGCAGTTAAATGCAGAGAATTTGTTTGAAATTAAAAGTATGAATTAATACTTGCAATGTGAGTTGGTAAGAAGAGTTAAGAATCTACTTTTACTCTTTTATGTTCCTAGCCAACCAACCACTTCCCCACAAAATCGAAGCAGACGGACATGACATTTCTGATGTTCCAAAGATTTAAGAGGGGGAGCTGTGTTTTGAGTTCTGTTTCTGCATCACAAAGTCGTCAGCAGAGAGTGCCAGCTTTTAAAAAGATGACTTTCAGTTTTTAAAGAGTCCTTTGAAATATAACTAGTACTCATTGAAAGTCAGCACTGCATTTTTTGTTATTCTACTTTCTACATAAAAATTCTTGTTTTCCTCCAAGTAAATTGTTATCCTGTCCCAATAAGGAGGAATTGAATAGTTTGGAAATAGTAATGGAAAGTTTTTTTATATTGCATTTGAATAGAAAAATATGAACATATTTCCAGGTGCTGTTTTGTTGAATCCATTTTCAATTTATTTATTTTCAATTATTATTCTTTCAAATAATTTCATTAAAACATGCCATCAATCCTAAGTGCAAGAGGATTGTTTTACTTCTGTCCCTATAGTTACATCAAGTTTGTCATTGGTTTTTAAAGACAGAATATAACAGAAAGCAATGAATTTAATTTATATAGATTTTGGTTACTCCGTCCCGCAGAGTAACACAGAGAAACGCGGTGCCTCTGTGCTGTGTTAGACATAAGTTGTATGCGGCACTTGCAGGGTTTGTTTAGCTGGGTTCTTTTGTGAAAAGGCCGTACTGTTTTGCTGCTAAATATTACAGGTTCAGGTTTGCTTTTTTCTCCCACTGTCTATTTGAATTTTGCTCCCTAAGTTTTTTGGCTTTGCTGTTCTCTGGGAACTGGGAAGTAAGGCTGATTTTTAGTGCTGTGTATCTGCAATGCTGCTGTCGTGCTGCTAGGGTCTTTGGAGCTGCCTTCGAGAAAATACCTTAAAAAAAAAGCATGCAAGCAAAGGGATGAATGCAAGGTTGAAAAAAGGGTGTCTGAATCCTAAATAGCGGGTGTCTAAGCATGGCATACTAAGATGCTGCAGGTATAAATTATAAGACTGAAATATATTTATTATTTTGCTGGAGCAGATTACTCTGTTAGACCTTGGTGATGCAGTTATTATTTACTTTCTGGCGCTTGATAGCTGAGAACACCTGTCATTAATTATAGAGTTCCCTCGCCCTTTCTCTGGCTTTATACTGTGTTTTTACCACCTAGTATCATCAAACCACATAAGGTTTTATAGACACATTCATAATACAAGCTAGCTCATTTTTTTTAGGAATTGTTTGTAATCAATTGCCAGGAAAGCTTGAAGATCCACTACAATAATATCTCTTTTGTTAGCTCATTAAAGTGTTTCTTAGGACATTAAGTTTCTGGAATCCCATGAGAATGAACTTTTTTTTTTGTAATAATGCAGGGGTGGACCAGGCATTACCCCAAGAACGCCGAACTCCGGTTACTCCGTCCTCGTCGTCTCGGTATCACCGCCGCAGGTCCTCAGGGTCACGGGATGAGCGCTACAGATCGGGTAAGCAGAACTCAGGGCTGCAGACGTGGAACGATAAGTAGAAATGGCAGGTTCTGGTCTTTGTTTTCTAACACATTTTTGTTTATGCTCTTCTAATATCTGCGCTTGGGAAAGATCTACTCTAGGAATATGGTGACACTGTCCAAGCATGCAGAGGCATTGGCAAAGCCAAAGCCAGTTTGACTTGAATCTGACACGGGATGTGAAGGGTAACTAATTGCTTTTATAAACACATTAGTAGCAAAGGAAGGCTAGGGAAGGTGTCGGTCTGTTGCTGAATGGGGCAGGAGACCTGTTCAGAAAGCATACATAAAAAATCAAGGTATTTACTGCCTTTTTTGCCTCAGTCGGTACTGTTAAGACTTACCCTCAGGAGTCCTAAACTCTTGAGACCAAGGGGAATGACTTGTCGTAGGTAAAGGAGAATCAGATTAAGGATGTTTTAAATAAACTGGAAATACACAAGTCCCCTGGGCTTGGCAAGATGCACCCACGTGTGCTGAGGAAGCTGGTCAGCATCCTTGAGAGGCCACTCTCAGTTATCCTCAAAAGGTTCCGGGCTCTGGGAGTGGTTCCAGAGGGCTGGGAGAAAGCAAATGACACTCCTGTCTTCAGTAAGGGGAAGGAGGAGGATCAGGAGAACTACAGGCTGGCAAGGCTCACCTTGATCACTGGGAAGGTCATGAAGCAAATAATCTTGAAAGCCCTTTTGAAACATATAAAGGACAAGAAAGTGATTGAGAGTAGTTTGCAAGGAGTTATGAAGGGAAAATTGTGCTTGGCCAACCTGCTATCCTTCTATGATGAGAGGACTGGCATAGAGGATGAGGAGGGATGTATATTTTGATTTTAGCAAGACTTTGGACACTGTCATCTGCAACACTCTTACTGACAAATCACTGGGTATGGACTAGGTAGGTGGACAGTGCAGTGAGCTGAACCCTTGCTGAGCTGCTGGGCACCAGTTGGCTGGAGACCAACTGCAGTTGGTGGAGCTCGGGGCTCGATACTGGGTCCAATATTGACTCCTTCACTATCGGCCTGCCCGCTGGGACAGAGAGCACCCTCGGCAAGTTTGCAGACGATATCAAATTGGAAGGAGTGGCTGATACACCTGTGGTTTGCTGCCATTCAAAGGGGCCTCAGCAGGCTGGAGAAGTGGGCAAAGAAGAACCTCATGAAGTTCAGCAAAGGGAAGCACAGAGTCCTGCTCCAGAGGAGGAATAATTCCACCCACCAGTACAGCCTGGGGGCTGACCAGCTGGAAAACAGCTTTGCAGAGAAGGCTCTGGAGTAGCAAAGAAGGCCAGAAGTCCTTCCCAAATGCAACTGTTTTGTGATTCTGTAAATACCACTGAGTTTTATCACACTGATTGTAATTTTGCAAATACCATAAGAAAAATATTTAATTGCAACTATAGCAAGATGGGAGCATGACTGTGCCCTAAATAGAAGTACTGACAAAAAGAAGATAAAATTAATTTTAGAGCAGAGCAAAACCCCAGATACAGCAAAATGGAGGAAGTGATTGGCTTATAGGCAGAGGAAGATTGAGGTTCTGGAACTTCTTTGCTCCTTGAAAGGTGTAAACTGATGTACTACACCTTAAGTGGCTGAGGAGAGGTGGTCCTGGGTGCTGGTTCAGGCGCTGCAGGGGCTGCGCTCTGGCTTCAGCGAGGACAGGCAGCCGTGGGGAGAGTGCCCAGGAGCAGCGGGCCAGAGGGAGCCCTGCACAGGGGCAGCGTGAGCAGGAGGCTGCTGCTCGTGGGGGACACGGAGGAGCCCCTTGTGGAGCTCCTGGCTTCTGCTGGAGGAGAGACACGCGTCGTGCTGGAACAGGCAGGCACATTGTGCTGACACAACTGGAAAATATTGCAGAGAACTCCTTACTGAACCTTTTGCAATGCATCACTGTGTCATTCCATTAGTCAAAGAGCTTGCCAGTCCTATTTAAAGGAAAATGAAACAATAAGCGTTGGCAAAGAAAATTAATGTGTGTCCAAACCATTTTGATAAATTTGAAAACTCCTTTCTCCCCTCAAAACCCTCAGGTTCACACAGTACATGCTGCCAGTTTGCCTTTGAACAGCAGTCACATGATGTGCATAATAATTCTTTGACACACAAACTTCTAGAAGCTGCTCTCACATTACACTAAAAATTGTCTGCTCTCTCCCCAGTGTTTTAAATAGGTACAAATATTATTCTTGGAATTGCTTAACCTACGGGTGTACAGCCCACGGTCCTCACAAACCCTCACTCCTGCGAGCAGTTCTGTTAAGGACACTTGTGTTTGGCTGTGCATTGAGAGGGGTCTCCTTGCGATGGGCTTGCCACTTGTCAGCTGAAGGTTTTGAGTCTGTTTGGGGATGAGGGCTGGGAGATGTCACCACAACTTTGCTGTGTGTCTCTTCTGGTACCTCAGCAATGCTCTGAACTGCTGTCGCTGCTGCTGGGTTTCGCTTGCTGCCTTAAAAGGAAGGCACGAGAAAATAATTTAATTAGTTCTTAGGGAAGCAGTATAGAGGGGAAAAGCTGAAAGGTTGTCTGCCTCTGTAATTAGGATTTATCAATCGCTGTCGAAGTGCTGCTTCCTGATGACCCATCCTTCTGAGCTTCCCCCACTGTTCATTCCCTTTTCAAGCAGCACCTTGGTTTCTACACGTGTTTGGAAGCACACACTTGGGCACAGCTCTTCAGACTAAGCCATCACCCCTTTTTACCTCGTGCCTTTAGATTCCCTTTTGCTGTGGTGCCTGTGAGTCCTTCTGCACCGCGGCTGGCGTGCTGATAGCACAGCTCAGCATGCAGCTCCCAGGGCTTGTCGTGCTCATGGCTTCATCTCGCTGTGCGAGTGCTCGTAGGCATGCGAGAGGTCGGCTTTTGTATCTGTGTATCCATTTATTGTCTTTATTCAAACAATCCCTGGCTTAGGGAATTTAAAATCTTATTCTGGATGTGTTCCAGGAATAGCACATAACGTCCTGGCTAAGGAGTAGGACTAAGCAATATATATAGCAATGCATGTAACTAATAACTGCACAGAATGTGAGGATGAGAGGAAGAATATGGAAATCAGTGCAAAGGGTTGCTTGTTATTAGTGAAGGAGTATAATCTTAGGAGAGTCAGGATTATACTGTAAATTTTGATCTCCTTTGCTGGTTGGAAAATATCCTTGGTGGTAAAACTAGAAAGCTTGACAGTATTGTCAGGGCTTAAGGCAGGGCTTTGGATTCCTGCATTGATTGCTGTATGCAGTGATGCCTCAGCAAAATAAGCCCTGGAGCTCTCCAACAAATTGGTTTGAACAGCTACCAAGACTGGGTTCGCGCAAACGAAAACTATATATAGCGAATGGCTGCAGAAGTAAATGTAAACTTGCATTTCAATTTTGAAAGTTTATCAAATAAATCTTTTTTTTTTTTTAGAATTCATTTTTAGAAGCTTTGCTAAGATACAGTGCAATGTTCCTATTCTATATTATGTTTTCCCTTCTTATGCGTTGCCCCTGTGAAGTCAAAAGTCCATTTCATGAGCCATACTCTCTTTCGCTGCAGGTTATGAAATTTTAAGCCAGGTTTCTTTCTGGTTATCTTGTCTCCAGTTTCAGATTTGCTGCAGTTGTTGGAATCTTTTGTTTAGCTTGTTGTTGTACTGTGCTTAATACTCAAAGCATCTCTGCTCTGATCATAATACAGTGATTAGATGCTCGCTGTTACCCGGTTTCAGTGCTTGTTATCGTGTTTGGCACATCTTCCTGGAAAAGTCCCAAAACAAAATGAATGTGCAGTCTTTATCCAATAAGTAATTCATTTCTAGGAAAACATTTCCCATCCTTAGTTTTTGCACAATTTATTTCAATTATCATCTGAAAACAAATCCTGTACTCCAACTCTGATCAAAGTCCTGTTCTGCCTCTCCTTCATAAGGTTTTCCTAATTGGAAACCTAACATCCTGAGAGTCATCCAGCCCTCGTTCCATGCCTTGGCTTTTTACATAAGTTTAGATGTCAGCAAAGATTGTTTAACGAAGTCTCTTTGGAGACTCAAAATCATTGCTACCACTATTATCACCTTCAACTTCTGCTCTTTTATTATGGAAAATGTCAGACAGTGACATTTCAAATCCCTACCTATTTTCTCACTCCAGTCTCTTTTATTATTATTTCATTAACGCTGTAAGTGAGGTTTTCAGCACTATAATTTCGAAAAACTTGATTTTCAGGATTTTTATCTTCTAAATAAAACTGTTTTTGAGTTTATGGAAAGTAATTTTTTCCTGCAAGTATTCCTGGTACATTTTGCACATTTAAGATGGCTTGATTTTAGAATTCAGCCTACACTGAGAATGTAGTTTAATTCTTTAAAACTGTAAAGGTGGAAAATGTGCCTGGCTACTTCTTTTAATACAATGAGTGATACCAAAATCTTAATGTTACAGAATGTTAGTGTCTTTGATGACTTCTCAGATGTCTAAAGAAATAGGTAAATTCTGTAAGAGTGCTAGCTCAACTAATGCAGGCGTGAGCTATATATCTTCCCTATAAAATTTTAGCAGCTAGGTTGGCTAATGTTAATGAGTAATTGTTATTTCAAAAGGACCTTTGGTTTGTTTACTACAAAGCATGAAAATTCTGTGAATGAGAATCAGTATTTGAAAAGGTTTGCCAAATGTCAGCAGTGGCAATGACTTTCTCTTAGCAGCTGCTGTTTCTTAGCCTGTCCCTATGCTAAAAAATGATCTAGAGGCTCAAGCTGACACTCAAGCCAAGTGTGGGTTGGGTCACTGACTTCTGCCTAGAGGCTTCTCAGGCCAGTGGCTTTTCTGGCAAAAAAAACCCTCAATTGTAGAAAAAATTGTCTTGTCCTTGTGTTGTGCCTCTGAGCAGAGGAAACGTTGGCATCTGGCTCGAAGGGGCTCAAGTTATGTGACGCTGCAAAATGAAGCACAGATCTCAGTATGTTAGCAATGGCCAGGTAGATGTGGCCGCACCTGGAG